CAATTGAAAAAATTGACAAAACAAAAAGTTTGTTCTTTGAAAACATAAATAAAATTGATAAACCCTTAGTCAAAATAAAGAAGAGAAGAAGAGAGAAATCTCAAATTACTAACATAGATAATGAAAAAGAAAATATCACAACAGACACTACAGAAATACAGAAGATAATTAAAAATTATTTTGAAAGTTTTTACTTCAATAAAACAGATAATATCAAAGGCATCGACAAATTTCTACAGAAATATAATTTACCCAAATTGAATCAGGATGATATACACAATTTAAACACATAAATTTTAAGCAATGAAATGAAAGACACTATCAAAAGCCAACCAACCAAGAAAAGACTAGGACTTTATAGATATTCAGCTGAGTCCTACAAGACCTTTAAAGAAGAACAAATACAATACTCCTCATCAAATTATTTTGTAAAATAGAAAAAGAAGGAACACTTTCAAACTTATTCTATGAGTAAAGTATCCCACAATCAGACAAAGACACATCAGCAAAAAAACCCAAAAAAAACCCTAAAGACAATATCTCTAATGAATGTAGATGCAAAAATTCTCAACACAATTCTGGCAAATCAAATACAAAAGCTTATCAAAAAGATTGTGCACTGCAATCAAGTGGAGTTCACCCGAGGGATGCAATGTTGTTTCAACATATGGAAATCAATAAATGTAAATCATCACATAAATAGACTTAAAGAATAAAATTATCATCTCAATAGATGCAGAAAAAGCTTTCAACAAAATACAGCACCCTTTATGTTCAGAACACTAGAAAAAGTAGGGATAACAGGTACTTATCTCAACATTGTAAAAGCTATCTCTGCAAAACCCCAGGCCAACATAATTCTAAATGAGAAAAATTGAAAGCATTCCCTCTAAAAACTGGAACAAGACAGGGATGCCCTCTTTCACCACTTCTATTTAATATAGTTTTTGAAACACTAGCCAGAGCAATTAGACAAGAGAAACTAAAAGGATACAGATAAGTAGAGAAGAACTTAAATTAGCAATTTTTGGTGTCAATATGATTCTGTAACTAGAAGACCCAAAATTGCACCAGAAAATTTCTAGAACTAATAAATGACTTCAGCAAAGTAGCAGGATATAAAATCAACACCCTTAAATCAAAAGCATTTCTGTGTATCAATGGCAAATTCTCTGAATGGGAAACAATAAAAACTACCCCTTTTACAATAGCCTCAATACTTTATATACAACCAGAGATATGGAAAATTGTGCTATATACGTGTAATAAAATGGTAATGAATTCTGCTGTCATTTTTTTTTTAAAAAATCAATAAACGAAAAGACAAGGAAACAAACAAAAAAACTTGGGAATCAACTTAACAAAAAAGGTAAAAGAACTCTACAATGAAAACTACACACTGCTAAAGAAAGAAATTAAAGAAGACCTTAGAAGACGGTAAGATCTTCCTTGTTCTTGGATAAAAAAGAATTAATATTGCCAAAATGACCATATTACCAAAAACACCATACATGTTTAATGCAATTCCCATCAAAATCCCAATGACATTCCTTATAGAAATAAATAAAGCAGTCATAAAATATATTTGGATAAAGGTAAGGGCAAGATTGAGGGAAACTAACAAATTTTGTGAAGCATCTTTTCTCTGTAAACTTGGAGTGTAGGAGGTAAAAGGAGAGAGAGCCATTATGAAAACCTTCTAGGAGAAGGTGACCTAACTGAAGTTATTCCCACCCAAGGCGTGTAGAAACCAACTCACAGTCTAATCATTTTTATGGGGAGAAACAAAACATTTCTCTCTACTCTTGTATATTCTAAGTTCATATCTTTGGTGTCCCTTTCTGATGGAACTCAACAAGAAATCATAGAACAAGGGGACTTCTTATGCAGCCTACAGCATATGTCTCACCAAAAGGTGAAAAATGGAGAAAGGAGCCAATATGGCAGCAATGGGTTACAGGAGGTTACTGAGTATTTGAAATGTGCCTAGTCTGAACTGAAGTGTGCTATGTGTTAAATAGACATTAGTTTTTCCAGTAACACTTGTTGAAATGGCTATCTTTTCTCTAGTGCATGTTCTTGGCACCTTTGTCTAATATAGGATAATTGTAATTTTGTGGGTTAGTCTCCGTGTCCTCTATTCTGTACCATTGGTCTACCAGTCTGTTTTGGTGCCAATACCATGCTGTTTTTGTTACTATTGTTCTGTAGTATAGATAAAGGTCTAGTATAGTGATGGCTCCTGCTTCACTCTTCCTGCTAATGATTGCTTTAGCTATTCTGGGTCTCTTATTTTTCCAGATAAATTTCATGATTTTTTTTCTTTTTCTAGGAGGAATATCATTGGGATTTTGATCAGAATTGCATTAAATATGTGTAGTGCTTTTGGTAGTATGGTCATTTTGATAATGTTAATTCTGCCTATCCAAGAGCAAGGTAGATCTTTCCATCTTCTAAGGTCTTCTTCTCTTCTTTGATTTTTTTCTTTAGGGTTCTGTGGTTTTCATTGTGTAGACCTTTCACCTCTTCCATTCCCAAGTATCCTTTTTTTTGAGGTTATTGTAAATGAGGTAGTTTTCTTCATTTCCTTCTCAGAGGATATGTCACTGATATACAGAAATGCTTTTGATTTATAGATGTTTATTTTATATCCTGATCCTTTGCTGAATTCATTTACTAGTTCTAGAAGTTTTCTGGTGGAGTTTTTTTGGGTCTTCTAAGTATAGTATCATATAACCAGCAAATAATTTAAGTTCTTCTTTTCCTATACGTATCCCTTTAATTTCTTTCACCTGTATAATTTAGGCCCAGGCTCCCAGGTGGGGAGGGCCAAACTCAGACCTATCCTGGACATAGGTCCTATGCAAGTGGCAAGTTTGTGTGGACAAATCTGGGCTGGGCTTAGGCTCGGGCATTAGTCTGGTGGTCCAAGAAGTCGTCCTGTGCCAGAGGCTGGCCTCTGGTGGTTGCCAACAAGTGGAGGTTGGACCTGGGCCTATTCTGTGCCTGGGTCCCACACAGGCCAGTGTGGGTGGAAATGGGCTGTCAGGCTCACCACCTGCCATAGTCTGCTGGTCAGAAGGGGCGGTCTTGTGTCAGAGGCTAGGCTCTGGGAGGTATCTGCACTGCTGGTGGAGGAGTTGACCGGGGCCTACTGAGAGCCTGGGTTCCACATGGGCTGGTGTGGATGGATCTTGGCTGGTCCTCAGCTACCCTGGTAGTCTGCTGTTTGGAAGAGGTGGTCCTGTGCCAGAGGCTGGGCTCTGGCAGGTGTTTGCCCTATAGATTAAAGTGTGGATCCAGCCTGCTGTGAGCCAGGACCCACGGGGTCTTATCTCAGTATTTGTATGATTGATGAATGCCATTCTAAATGGGGTAAGGGGAAATCTCACCATAATTGTGCATTTCTGTGATGGCATATTTGATTTTTTGAGAGGCAGTCCATGTGGGCATTTACCTATTGAATTCAAGTTTTTGTTCAATATAGAAGTAACAAAGAAACCACCTATAGCAACATCTTGAACTGCCAATGTACATAGGTGAAGAAGAGTGTCTCCTGTCATTCCCAGGTACCTGGTTGAGACTTTCTTTGAAGGCACAGTCCCCAGTGCTGGTCCTCAAGTATCACATCCCAGTGCATGGAGTAGAAATGAACATGAGGGGAAGTGGGCACCAATCTATTTCAGCTGTGGGACTTTGGAAAAGTGCAGGGAGGGACAAGAAATGGGAAACTCAGATACAGAGACTTGGCTGGTGATTCACTTTCTTATTATAAAAACTTCTTATAGAATAATTAAGCTCCAATTAAAACTGAGATGAGGTCTGAGCCTCACAAACTAGTAATTGTGGAAGGAGAGGGAGAGCCATACTTCAGGGACTGGTGTCCACAGGGGCTAGCTCCTCCCTGACAGGTGTCAGCTCTGAACACTGGAGCCTCTGTGGTAGTTAATTGCAGGGAAAAACTTCATAAACCAGAAGGTACAAATGCGACCTTGAAAGCTGCATCTTGTCTAAAAGACAGCCCAGAGCTTGTCTGCAGCACAGCCACCCAGGTGAGTGGACCCTAGGATCTGACTTGCTCACAGGCCCAGGGGACATTCCCTCAGCAGTCAAGGTCTTACTCTGTGACTGAGCAAGGGGGTGGCTGACAGGGTCTGAGCCTCAGGACCTTCCCTCTTCTTCTGGTATTTAAAGGTATGACCTTAGCCAGGAAGATGAAGGGGTCTTTTACAGCAGGTGTCCCTCAGCTATGTTGGAGCCACTGTGACCCTGTGTGCAAGATCTGATTCAGCAGAGAGCTCTGTGGTAGGTCCTGAGGACAGAAAGTTAGAAGCTTTTTCTGCTTTTTGAAAAGTTCAGTTTCTTCAAACTCCATGTTATCCTGCTGTAACTCTCTGTGTTCTTAGTTTATATAATATTCTGCGCCTAGTTTATGGTGTATTATTTGATTTTCAAAATACAAGTTTTCTCTTACATTATGTTTTGTGTCCCTAAGTGCAGGGTGCTTAATGAGAAGGCATTCTGTCTCCATCCAGCCTGAAACTGTCTGTCCTCTCATGTAACATTAGACCACAGAGTAAGTCAAACTCATTCTTTGCATGTCTGTGTGTGAGAGTGCCTACTGAGACAATTAGCACAGCTGTTGGGTTTTATTCTCTGGTGTTTATGTGGGGGTCATGCATATGTTTGAATGCAAGGACTTCCTTTTAGGAGCACTCACAGTACAATTGTAAAACCAATCTGGGATAATGCCATTTTGTCTTCTGACATTCTTTTTTTTTATTCTGTCAGAGTGAAAGAGAAGTGAGTTATATGACTCAGAAGAGCCTCCCAATTGTGATACAGAGCTGTGTAGTTTGGGAAGATGGTAATAGGCTGAAAATATGAGGAAAAGTATGAAGTAAGAAATGATTTTGCATCTTATCAAGGGGATAATCTTCATGATTCTAATAGGACTTGGCATTGTGGGGAACATCTTTGTTCTTATGAACTATATGAGTATGTTTAGAATCATTGTCAAATCTATACACCTCATTCTCATTCATTTGGCTTTGATAAATATGATAACTCTTCTTACAAAACTAATGCCATTGATAATATTCAGTTTTGGGTTTAGAGACCTCATAGATGATACAGCCTGTAAGATGGTGCTTTACCTCAGTAGGGTGGCCCGGGGCTTGTCCATCTGCACCACCAGTCTCCTCACAGTGGTCCAGGCAATCACCATCAGTCCCAGAGCCTCCAGGTGGAGGAGGCTGCAGCCCAGGTCAGTATGGCACCTGCTTCCCTTGTTAGTCTTCCTTTGGATACTCAATTCCTTGATAAGCATGAACTTAGCATTTTACTCCAAAAATATGTACAGGATGAACACATCACAATTTATTATCAGTTTCAACTATTGTTATTTACAACAACAAACTGGAATAATCAGATGGATTTTTATTGTTCTCATGGTCCTTCGAGATGCTGTGTTCCAGGGTGTCATGGGTGGGGCCAGTGGATACATGGTCTTCCTCCTCCACAAGCACCACCAGCATGTGCTCTACCTTCAGACCTCCAAGCTGCTCTACAGAACCCCCCCTGAGGTGAAGGCTGCAAAGAGTGTCCTCCTTCTGATGCTCTGCTTTCTCTTCTTCTATTGGACAGATTGCTTCATGACTTTATATGTAACGTTTACCTTAGAGACGAATTTTCTGGAAGTAAGTGTTCTAGAATTGGTGGACCTTGGCTATGCAATTCTCAGCCCATTTGTGTTGATTCACAGGGATGGACACTTGGGTGAATGTTGTGCTCAGTAAGAAGGGAAGAGATTGAGAAAAGTGTCTTTTTCATTGATCTTTTCAGTAAGTAAGTTTGAAATAATTCATAGATTTCTGTTGCTGTATGTGATGGAAAAAATAGTAGCTGAATCACATAGAGGCAGATTTCCACAGCAAAATTTCATGATAGTTCAGTGACAACCTCATAGGAAGCTGCCTGAGTGTGCTTCTTCTAGGTATCTGTGGCCCTGTGTATATTTGCAGGTTTTACTTCCCTGTCAACCTCAAACTCTATTGATATATATTAATACTTAAGGTATAATTATTTTTGATTAATAGAAAATATTTTCAGGTTCATAGTATTTACAAATAGAATGGAATAATATACTTACCTGGGTGTTATCTACATTATAAAATCTCCAAGAATAAAGAGACTTAAAATGTAGTTGTCTCTTTGACAGAAAGATGAATGGATACGTAATGGAAATGATTTAGTTTCCTTTTTGTGTTTTCTGCTTTCTGACTTAAAATTTGAATGCATTTTTCCCCAAACAATGAGGAGTTGGTGTTTGAAATGTAATGAACCTAATTTTCCTGTTTCTAAAACGGAACCAAAAATATATTCATGCAGATTGCACAGATGTGGCCACAAGTCATTTGACTAAACCATTTTGAAATATTAGTGATTCTGTTGATGCATTGATCATATCCCCTCCAAGGCAGCTGAGTGGTCCTAGAGGCCTTCCCTCCATAGCCATGTGCTCTCTAGGTCTCTCTTATCACCCTGTTTATTTGTGTTCTAGAAGAACAGGTGAAGGCCTTTTCTTGTGGTTCGTTTATTCCATGAAAACAAAATAATTTATGAATGTTATTATGTGATACTCCAAAATAGAGTTTATTTGCTTCATATAATGATGCTGTCCTTGAAGATAAAGGGCTTGCTACTATCTTAGATCCACAGTTCTCCTAAAATGTAGCCTAGAGAACAAGACAGCCCTCCCCAGACCCATCACTGGTGTGAACTCCAGGGCAGGGAGTACAAATCCCGGAAGTGCTGATAGGAATGAATGACACGTATAAGTGGCAACACGAGGATGAGGTGACCAAGCACCAACAACAGACAATACCGAGGTGAAAAATAAAATGGTTTCTGACTTTTGGACACAATAGATTAAGGTTTGGCTGGGTTTTATATTCCTTTATGCAAGTATGATTTTTCTTCACTCTAAAATGTGGGAATTGAGTTGACAAATTAAAAGTACATCAGAAATCATATTTAGAAAATAATTGAAAATAGTAAAGCGAATGAGGATGTTGCCCACCTGTGGGGTGGGAGAGAGAAGTGGGAAACCCTGAGCACTGAACTCTCTGGCATGACTGGTAGCACATCAGTTTTCTTTGATTGCACAAATACCTGTGTGTCTTTTAAAGCAGTAAAATATAAACAGTGATCTGAATGCTGCCTGAGTTGTGCCTGAGAATGCTTACACAAGGTTATAGATGAGATGACTGAGTATTTCCCTAAGTTTGTGAGATAAAACACCACATTCAGAACTAAGAGAAATTATTATATGAATCGACACATCAATGTTTATACAGACCTGTAGTTGCTAAAAATTCAAAGAACTATCTTGAAAGCAACCAGAATAATAAGTGAAATAAAAGGCATAAATCATTCCTAATTAATAGTGGATATCATGCAAGAGATTTTGGGTTCCAAAAAACTTCATTGATCACAAACCTCATAAATCTCTCCTCTTATCGGTGGAAGCAGGGGTGTTTTGGGTCTCCAGAAATAATAATCAGTTAGTACCCAGTGTCAGTTATTCGCTGAAATGTCTGGTGGTTCCTTTGTTCCCATGACCAGTCATTCTACTAGGTGAACATCCATCTCACTGGGGAAGAGTAGGAGGAAGGGGTCAGTGTGCTCTGGCAGTGCAGCAAGGTCACTCATGGGCAGCTCCCTCCCCCTCCACACAGCAGCTCTGTGTCTGCAGACTGGCTTCAGGGCGGTAGTCAGTGGAGGAGCCATGAAAGCTGTTCTACAGATTCAGTCAGATTTACCCTGAGAAGAGTTAGGGTTTATCTCCTTCTACAAATCCAGAAAGAACTGGGCAGAACTCCCATATGTTTCGTATGAAGACACCTGATGATCAATTGATCAATGCCAAAGATCTTTTAATGTGTCACAGTTTCTGATTATTTTCTATTGTGGTAAATATGACCACTGTTCCTTAGTGAATCAGTGCCACCATACAACACATGTGACCTTGGGATGTGACGGTACCCTTTGTGTTTAGGGATTCTAGTTCAATGCCAGTACCTCCCAATTTAAGGTTGAATTTAACGCAGAGAACCCACAGAGTTCATCTAGGATGTTGAACTATTCTCATGAATTTCTTCAGCAAATGGTGTTGGTAAAACTAGAAACCCACGTGCAAATATGATATTGAACTTCAATCTGAAGCCCCATACAAAACTGTAAAAACTGTACTCAAAGTTGAGCAAAGATTCAGACATATAATTGAAATTTTAGGACTCCTCAAATGCAATACAATAAAACACTTCTTGACTTTGGACTCCTTAGTGAGTTTTTGGATATGACATCCAAAGAAGAAAAAATAATTGCGGAAATTACCAAGTGGGACTATGTTAGAGTAAAGACACTCTGCACACAAGTGAGACCCTCAAAACATTGAAAAGCCAGCAGTGAGATGAGACCCCACTTTTGAAAACGTTGTGACTAGTAAAGTTCTACTCTTTAAATTATGTGAGTCACTCACATTGGTGGATAGCCCAAATACCCAAGACTAAACAGGTTGTAAATGGGAAAGGTCTTGAAAAATATTTTTCTGAACAAGACAGGCAATTGTCCACACCATCTATGAGCAGGTGTTCATCACCAATAACCACTATGAAACTGCAAGCCACATTCAGGGAACACAAACTCACACATGTTAGATTGGTTCTTAACTTGGAAAGAAGAAATAATAGGTGGTAGCAAGTGCCTGGAGAAAAAAAATTTTGTGTACATAAAAGTGACTGAATATATTATATGCTCTGTGGTTGAGATCAATGTTCCTTTTCAATATTAATAGTGTACGATATTCCTGAGGGAGTTAGAAGCTTAGCCCAATCCTTCTTGAGCAAGAAGAGTGAAGTAGAAAGCATTACATTACTTCAGATCTCAAAATATAATACAAAGCTGTAGGAATCTAACCAGCATAGAACTGGAATAAAAACAGACACTTGTACTAATAGAAAAGAATAGAAAGCCTAGAGGTAGCGCATGCACATATAAGTATTTGATTTCTCACAAAGGAGCTCTGAAGGTGCATTCAAGAAAGAACAGTCTTCTCCATGAAGTGGTCCTGGGAAAAGTGCCTATCCACATGGAGAAGAATGTGCCTGAACTCTTGTGTCTGAAAAGCTAAGAAATCTATTAATGATGGATTAAAGACTTAAATGGAAAACCTGAATCAACAAAAGTTGTAGAAGAAAACAAGGGAAAAGACATAGGACATTGTTCTGGGCAAGGATTTTGGACAATTCACCAAAATGAGAGGAAACACAACAAAAAGGTACCAATGGGATTTGATTGATCTAGAAACACTCTGCACAAGAAAGAAAATAAAAGCACAGAGGGAAGAGACTAACTGCATACTAGTTGAACATACTTGGAAATCCCATGTCTCCTAGGGGCTTACGCTCAGGATGTATAAAAGGAAGCCAAACTCTCAATAGCAAGAGCTGATGGTGTAGATTAGTTGCAGACCATTTGTCATTGGAGGCAATGCCTTGGCTTGAATCCCAGGAAATGCAAACATACATTGAAAATAAAAATCAATTACAGAACACACAAAAAATTTAATAACAAAAATACCCCAATTAATAAAGGGCAATAGACCTATAAACACATTTCCCAAAAGACAGTTTAGGAATATTCAACCTCAGCAATTATTAGCATAATGCAAACCCAAATCTCGATGACACTCGAATGGCCACTGTCAAAATTTTAAAAGGTATCAATATGTTATAGGAGTGTGGCAAGAAAGAAACCCTCGTACACTGTAGGTGGGAAGGTAAATAAGTACCAATGTTATGAAAACAGTGTTTGAGAATCTAAAAAACATCACAAATAAAGCTACCACATGATCCATCAATTCCTCCCTGGGTTTAAATCTAAAAGTTTTGAAATCAGCATGTCCGAGAGACCACTGCATTCCTACGTCTATTGCAGCAAGTTCAGCCAAAGTCTGGAGGCACCTTAAGTGACCACTGAATAAAGTACATAGAAAAAAAAAACATATAGTAACACATAAAGGATGGAAAAGCATCCATTCATAAAGTAAAATGAACTCCTGTCATTGGTGACACCATCCACTGAGCTGGAGGCAC